CTGCGGACCAAAGGAAGAAAAATCTCGATAAAAAGAAGAAATATCAAGAATGGGAGAATAATACTATTACTATTCGCAATAACAATAGATGGCATGGAAGATACAATGATAAGAAGTAGCGATAACACTAATAAGTACTAAGAGAACGAAAGGAAAAAAAGAGCATGAAAAAAATAAATAAATAAAATAATAATAAAAAAAGACAGGGGATATATCTTATGCCTCGCGGAAAAGTCTGCGCCGCCTCCGAGGCACAACTGATCAATCTCAGATGATCGCCTCCAGTGATAAGTTGCCGCGAGAGAAAATGTGGAATGTTTCCCTCGCGACGGAAAATTCGAGCGTCTCGTCAGCTGATGCAAGCAAGCAGGATGCAAGTCCGTCGGTCATGAGACATGCGGGATCACGTCCTGCAGCCGTCCGTGGGGCTCAGCCGCAACACGCGCTTATGAGAAGCGGGAAAATGTTGCGAAAGTTATCGTAGTAAATATTATATGTGGCGATACTGGGAGAAAGGCGGCGGGCCTGAGGGTGGCTGGCTCTTGGAAACGAGAGGAAATGAAGGAGAAGAGAGACAGACAGACAGAGAGAGGAGAGAGAGGAGGGGAGGGGGAAAGGAGTAAGAGGATGGGATATATATACATACATACATATACATACATATATATATATATATATATATATATAATATATATAATATATATATATATATATATATATATATATGTGTGTGTGTGTGTGTGTGTGTGTGTGTGTGTGTGGTGTGTGTGTGTGTGTGTGTGTGTGTGTGTGGTGTGTGTGTGTGTGTGTGTGTGTAAAGCGAGGGAGTGATAGGGAATGAACAAATTAAAGAACGCAGGAGGACAGCTAAAAAAGAAAGAAAAAAGAAAAAAGAATCAGCGACCCGCACCAACACCGCAGAAATCGTCCCGCGGCGTCGCCTCATTTCTCTCCCACCGTGCCTTGTAGGGGGCGGGGGGGGGGGGGGGCATGCAACGGGGGCAAGAGCAGCAACCGAGGCTAACAGACGGGAGTCGCGCGCAGAGAGACAAACATTCAACAGCCATTAAAACTGCACTCGGGTGTTTAGCGGCGCGTGGCTTGGGGAGGGGGTGGGCTGCAGGGTGAAAGGTGGGGTGAGAGTAGGGTGGGGTGAAGGGGCAGGTGGGGTGGTGGGCGTCAGCATGGGTGGGGTGAAGGCAGGGCGCAGGTGGGGTGTGGGGCGTCAGCATGGGTGGGGTGAAGGCAGGGCGCAGGTGGGGTGGTGGGGCGTCAGCATGGGCGGGGTGAAGGCAGGGCGCAGGTGGGGTGGTGGGGCGTCAGCTGGGCGGGTGAAGGCAGGGCGAAGGTGGGGTGGTGGGCGTCAGCATGGGGGGGTGAAGGCAGGGCGAAGGTGGGGGTGGTGGGGCGTCAGCATGGGTGGGTGAAGGCAGGGCGAGGGGTGGGGTGGTGGGGGCGTCAGCATGGGTGGGGTGAAGGCAAGGGCGAAGGTGGGGTGGTGGGGGTGGTCAGTGGGTGGGGTGAAGGCAAGGGGCGGGGTGGGTTGGTGGGGCGTCAGCATGGGTGGGGTGAAGGCTGGGCGAAGATGGGGTTGTGGGCGTCAGCATGGGTGGGGTGAAGGCAGGAGGGTGGGGTGGAGGGTGGAGTCTTGGTGGAAGACGAAGTCAGGGATGTAGTGGAAGCAGGTGGGTGTGGGTGAGGACAAGGGGAGGGTGAACACGAGGTGGAGGGGAAGGCGGGGTGGAGGGCGAAGGCGGGGGGAATTGGAAGCAAGGGAAAGCGAAAAATTAGGCTCAATGGGGAGTGCGAAGGGAGGACAAGGGGAGGAAGAGGGGAGAGAGAGTGAAAAGTAGGAGGAATGAGGTGGGCGAGTGACGAGGGGAGAGGGAGGGAGACTGATGGAGAGCTATAATGTGTTTGTGATCTTGGGGAGGAGGGGGGAAGGGAGGGGAGGGGAGGGGGGAGGGCGAGAGGGGAAAGAGGGGGAGGGTTACAAAGGGGACGGAGAAAAGGTTGGGAGGGGACCGAACTAACGGGGTGGAAGGGACGGGGGGAGGGGAGTAGGGGAAAACAGGGGGGGGGAGGATGGATGAGGGTAAGATGGAAAAGCAATTCTCTGGTAAAGGTGTGTAAGAGAGAGAGAGAGAGAGAGAGGAGAGAGAGAGAGAGAGAGAGAGAGGAGAGAGAGAGAGAGAGAGAGAGAGAGAGAGAGAGAGAGAGAGAGACCACCTCTAGACATAACACTCCCCTCTTCCCCTCAAAAAAAGAAAAAAGTTTACGACACTTAATTCCCGCATCAAACCGACCGTCATCCCACCTTATTAACCCGATTCCACAGTAAAAGATCAAGAACTTGCCGTCCATTACAGTAATGACAGCTTCCCGATGCAAAGTGGCTCAGCTGACCCTTCGGCTGTGAGGGAAATGGCCGCATCATTTCACTGTCCCATCGCTTTGCTGTTCAAATTTAGGAGGAGAATCATTTTATATCTCGACTTGC